ATTATTTTTTACTATCCGTATGATACCTCTAGGTTTTCAAAGCTCCATGCCCTCGCTTATCAATTATTCATTTTACATGTAGCTGTGTTAGAATGTAGACAATTTTCTTTCACGAGAGTAAGCTTGTAATTTGATGTACCATAAAAGTCGTAGAAGGTATTAAATGATTTTTAAAAGGCACTTAGTATTACTGCCATCATAATACACATACAGATGGGCTTTCAGTCTGAATAATGAAGACTGCCTAATAAACGGTACACTTAGTGTTGTCTTTTCAAGGGACTTCGGGCCACAGAGTAATAAATGTTTAGATAGCCTTGGATGAAAGAGAAATGTTGGGTGATAACTGACGGAAATGCAAATTCTATTTGCTTCATTTTAAGACTTCAAAAATTAATTAAAAAAAAAAAGTGCTGGTGTCTGGAATTGGGTAGGCTTAACCCTTTCTTTCCTCACTGACATTAATGGTGGCTGAACTGCTCTATTAGGAAGGATAGATTATGGGTTAATCCCTGTAAAGGATTTTTAGTGATTATCTGGAGCTCTAGACCAATGATTCCTCATTCTTTTGAATATACGGTGGACCCTCTTTTAAATGTCAAGAAAACTTCCAGGACTCTTACATAAGGCTAGTTAAGCCGTTAGTATCTTTGAGTCAGAAAATTCGTGATGACAAAAAGCTACTTGTTATCAGTAATGCTTTGCATTAGTCTGGACTTTATCAGACGGCATTTGTGTGTGTTTGCAAAAAAGCATGTTAAGTGCTGGACATGGTGTTGACCCAGTCAGCGGCCCATGCTGGGCCTCTTGCAGAGCCCAGTAGTGCCCTGGACTCCGTGGCTGCAGGGTCCAAGTTGGCCCATTCCTTTTACAGATGGGGAATCAAAGGCCCCCCGAAACGTCAGCTAACTTCTGTAATGCCAGATAGGCAGGTGACATCTCCTAAGCCCGAGGTCAGTGCTCTTTGGTCCCCCACTCTCTCTCACGTAGGGCACAGGAATTCAGCTTTTCTGAAACGTTGGCCTAGATCCTAGCACAGTGGACCGCCTCTTCTTTTCTCACTATGCCTTGGAGCGAACGGAGACTTAGATGAAGTAACTCCCCAGCGGTCAAGCACTGGCCATGGTGGCCTGCACCTAGCATGAGGCAGAAAGCCATTTACGTGGCTGGCTGTAGCATTTCTCCAAGAGGGAGCTCCAGATGGGACTTGTACAAGTTTGAGTTTACCAATAGCATGTCACTTAATTTTCCTGATTAATTCTGTAAGTTTGGAAGTGATTGACACTTTGTGGAAAGGAGGGAGACTGAGTACTTGGAACATAATAGGAAGATGGAGCTTTTCCCAGCTCTGTCTCTGGAGAGGCTTTATGAAAGGCTGTTTTTGTTCTTCCAGCCTTAGGATCAAAACTTTGGAAACTATTTGATTATAATGTAGTATTAATATGGAAAATGAAAATTCCCCTGCCAAAGAAACTGCTTTTTATCTCATCCCTTTCCTGAAAAAATCCAAAATATAGTGTAATGTCAGTAACATTAAGTGGCAAGAAGTCGGAGCTATTACAGTGACACCTTTTCACATGAATGACTATTAAAAAAACCAGGAAGCAGCAGATTTATCTAATTTACTATAAAAAAAAACTTTGGAAGATTTTTATTTTTAGGAGGGGGTGGTGGTTAAACCTGGGATGAAGTATTCAGCTGACATTTTTAGTTCCTTTCTCTTTGTGAAATTCATCAGCGTGAAGCACATTTAATCAAAATACCAATTTCATAAAATGGAGGTAAAATACTCCTGGTAATTCAGATATTACTCTTTCCTTGGTTTTTTTTTCTGTAACCAATTTTGATGACATAGTTTACAGACCAGAGAGTTGCAGTAGAATCAACTTTTTTCATCCTCGAGAGCATTGTTCAACTTCACATTTTTAACAGTGCTTGCTACGCTCATCGAGTTGCATGTGTTTTCCTGCTATGCTGTTCCTTGTTGGTGAAGGAGTTTGTGGGTAAGCATGCCTTTGCTTGGCCTCCCTTTCCATCCCAGTCATTCAAGAAGCCAGGACTGCTTTGCCTGTTGCATCCCACTTCTTCGTCATGGAAGGGACTATAGTCTTCATGTCCCAAGAGTGGGTGGCAGCTACACACTAGATGCATCAGGCAGAAATGGAGACATGAGGCTGTTTCCAGAAACAGTTCATATTTCTGCAGAAATATTCTAAAAAGGATAAAGTGCTGGGAAGGAAAGTGCTGAACTTAATTAAGGCAAGAGTTCAGCAAAGCAATTTTAAACAGTCTTGCCAGTGTGTGGCAGTGCTCCTTTAAATTTTATATTTAAATTTAATCTTTATCTTTCAGATTTAGCATATTGTTAAGCATGCATAGATGTCATTTTAGTGATTACTTAGCCATTTACCTTACCCCCTTGAACACTGACATTTTCCTGACTGCCATGCATGTGATGTATTTCTTTGGCATCCAAAAGGTTAGTCTTGAGAAACTAATTTATCAAGAAGTTGGGAGTCTGATCCTTCTTAAGCTGTGACTTCCTCACAACTTGTAAGAGCTTCTTAGTAATTAAGATCAAATTTGTTCCTTCAGCCCGTTGAAACTGAATGCCCTCTGGTTTTGTTAGGCAGATCCATGGATTTGATGACTTACTGTGTCTTTTCCTGCAGAATTCTAATTTCACTTATAGCTTCCCACCACCCCTCCCCTGCCTGGCCATCTAATAGCTGTGGCCTGACAGTAGGTGTAATTATGGACTTTTGTACAAAACAACTAGTATAATCAATGGAAAACCTTTGAGCACGTTTACAGGAAAGAAATAAAATAGATGGTTTTT